GCCTTTCTGCTCCTATGATGCTGCTTGGCCTGCTGTGTTCATCCAGCCCTGCACCTTGTTGTCTCGGATTCTCCAGCATCTGCAGTTCCTACTATCTCTAACTCCAATACACTCTTTTTTAAGAAGTGCGACAGACTTTGTTTTCATATGTAAATAAATTTTGTGCTGCACAGTCAGTGAAGGTAATGACAGTGGAGTGAGAAAAGCACATTGGTAATTTCCCTGCTGATGTGAAATGAACTATCAAACAAGTTTTCATTCACTAATATTAATCAAATGCCTTCTCATATTTCAAAAGGAAGCTTGGAACCTTATGATTAAAAGTCACAGAACACTGGTTCCATCCTTTATTGTTGTCTCCTTTACTTGCTGTCATAGAATAAAATAATGTGATTGATCTAAAATGTTTAAAGGAAAGAAAATTACTTTTTCTGCATTCGTGACTGGAGGAGGCCATTCTAGAGGTGATAGAAAGTCATTTTGAGTTATATTTAAACTCAACAAAAAATGAGTTGAGTGTAAAATAGGAAGCTGATCCAATCCAACCGATGTCCAGCTGAATGGGTTTGGTTAAAATTATCCTTCTCTATATCATTACCTATTGGTAAAAGAACTAACAAAGGTTGACTCTCCAATCAGTTAGAAATACCTGTAAATGTCCATGGGTTATTTTCTAATTCAACTGTAGCAGGTTAATAGAATTGCCCAGAATTCTGAGGATCGGGCAATCTCAAAGTGATTATCCTGAACAAGATATTTTCCTCTACTTCAGTTTGTAATATCTTTGTGCTGTATACCTCAGTAAAATGTAAATTGTTAATGGTGTCGTAACATCAATAGGATCTCTTGCATCTTCTAAATGATGGAGCTAATAGTCAATCGCCTTAAGAGAGATTTGCCAGTCTCCTGATTTTTCCGGTTTCCTGATTTACCAGGATGTTGACTGGGCTGATTGATTTGCATAAAATTATGAAGGGCATGTAGGGTTGGGGTGGGTCAGGATGGGAAATGCAGGGTTAGGGTTGGGGGTGGGTGTGGGTGTGGGTGGGGTGCTCTTCAGGGAGTTGGTGCGGACTTGATAGGCAGAATGGCCTGCTTCCACACTGTAGATTCTATGATTCTATAAACAGGGTAGTCAGGATGAAGCCTTTTCCTTTGGTGAAGGGATCAATGGCTGGGGGCATAGATTTTAGGTAAGAGGCAGAAAGTTTAGAGGAGATGTGAGGAAAGCCTTTTCACCCAAAGGGTGGTGGGAACCTGGAAATCACTGCCTGTAAGATTGGTAGAGGCAGACACCCTCATTACATTTAAAAAAGTATTTAGATGTGCACTTGCAAAGGCAAGGCTTACAAGGTTATAGGCAAAGTACTGGAAAATGGGATTAGAATAGTCACTTTTTTTTTGACCAGCATAGATGCGATAGGCCAAATGACTTTTTTCTGTACTGCAGATCCCTATGACTCTATGCCTTTCAGTAATGCATTTTAAGGAAGGAGAGAGAAACAGAGCAAATGACAGAAGAGAACAGGGTGAATTAGAATCAATAAAAACCAAAAGAATTGCAGATGCTGGAAATCAGCGACAAAAACAGAAGTTACTGGACAAGCTCAGCAAGTCTGGCAGCATCTGTGGAGAAAATCAAAGTTAACATTTTGGGTCTGGGAAAGGGTCACTGGAACCGAACCTCTAACTCTGATTTCTCTACATAGATGCTGCCAGAACTGCCGAGCTTTTCCAACAATTTCTGATTTTGTTTCTGAATTAGAGTCACATTAGAGGCAGAAATATAATTGAAGAGAAGGAAAGAAATATTGAGACAGCAAGAAAGAGAAAAGAAATGAAAAATAAGAATAATGTTAAGAAATTTGATTTGAAAAATCTCCAGGAACAATTTACTGCCTGCCAGTGTAAAATTCTATAGTTTCAATTGTTTCTTATTTTATACCTTCAAGGTTGAGCTTCATATCAGGATTATAAATCACATCATACAGATGAAATACCATCCCTAAATATTTGCAGCAGGATTCATTCATGTGTACAATAAACATTCAGAAATTCTTCAACATTTATGAGTAGTCTTATGGTATGTGAGGTTAAAAGTAGACTGGCACAAGTCATTCGTTTCTCTCTCCTCTACAAACTCCTGGTCTTTTCATACATTAATAATGATGGTTGCCATGAGCTCACTATTATTTTTCCAGCATTTCTCGACTATTTTCAGGGTTAAAATAAGTAATAATTTTTAGTAATGGGGATCTATACTCTTAATTCAGTAATTTAATTGGTGTGTTTATTTATTTAGCAGGCTTGTAATAATGGTAACTAAATGTTATTCTCAGCAATTATGATTACAGTTAAATTTTTCCAACATGTTTTGTTACAAGCAAATTTCTGCATAAAATTTGCATTTTAATAAGTTTTTCAAAAGAGGACATCAAGTTGCAATTTTTGCTGAAATCATATATTATGAATTGTAACATGGATCATTCACATATAGGAGTTTAATAATAGGTTTTATACATGGAGAGATCTTCTTTATACATGGAGAGATCTTCAACTTGATCAATTGGTGCCAAACCAAGGTGAAAGTAGACACTTTCACGAAATCACAGATTTAATAATGCAAAAATCAGAACCTACTGTCAGATATTTAAATCCAACTGTGGAGATTATTCCAGCCGTAAATCCAATCAACAGACTTCCATAAGGGTAGATCATCATGTCAGCAGAGGTCCCAGCAGCTACACCACCTGCCAGAGTAGCATTTTGTATGTGGACCTGCACAAAGGAAAGCAAGCACTAGCTTCATTTGAGAAACATCAAGTCAAAATTTGCTTGACATGCTAGAATCAGCATAATTTGTAAGAATCAGTCAGAATAAAGAGTTGCTTCAAACACTGTCATTTTGGAAGATGTGCCTGTCAGAATTAATTTTCTTTGATTAGAAAATGTCAAAAAAACAATATAAATTAAACCCACAGAAATGTAAATACATATTTCACCATGAACTGGATTAAAAATTATATGGTGGTGCACAACCATTTAAATTCTTTATACAGATTTAATTACCCTACAAATTAGGGTGAACATTGACTTGTTTAAAAAATGTCAGCCGCTGTGTGCACTGCCTCATCATGTGTATTAATGCTCAGTGAAAATTAAAAACTATCAATGCTACATTTAATGTCTAACTGAAGTCCAACAGAAGGATATTGGATGGGAAATTTCATCTTGAATTGTATTACTCTTGCGTTAGAAAATACCACGTGGCCACCCAGATGAAATTCACATCCACAAAAATCCTTCCCTTCTCAAATTCCCTAAAATTGATATACAAAGAACAAAGAAAATTACAGCATAGGAACATGTCCTTCAGCCCTCCAAGCCTGCGCCGATCCAGATCCTCTAGCTAAACCTGTCGCCTATTTTCCAAGGATCTGTACCCCTCTGCTCCCTGCCCATTCATGTATCTGTCTAGATACATCTTAAATGATGCTATCGTGCCCACCTCTACAACCTCTGCTGGCAACTCATTCCAGGCACCCACCACCCCCTGCGTAAAGAACTTTCCACGCATATCTCCCTTAAACTTTTCCCCTCTCACCTTGAAATTGTGACCCGTAGTAAGTGAGTCCCCCACTCTGGGAAAAAGCTTCGTGCTATCCACCCTGTCTATACCTCTCATGATTTTGTAGACCTCAATCAAGTCCCCCCTCAACCTCTGTCTTTCAAATGTAAATAATCCTAATCTACTCAACCTCTCTTCATAGCTAGTGCCCTCCATACCAGGCAACATCCTGGTGAACATCCTCTGCACCCTCTCCAAACCATCCACATCCTTTTGGTAATGTGGCGACCAGAACTGTATGCAGTATTCCAAATGTGGTCGAACCAAAGTCCTATACAACTGTAACATGACCTGCTAACTCTTGTACTCAATACCCCGTCTGATGAATGAAAGCATGCCGTATGCCTTCTTGACTACTCTATCGACCTGCGTTGCCACCTTCAGGGTACAATGGACCTGAACACCCAGATCTTTCTGTGCATCAATTTCCCCAGGGCTTTTCCATTTACCGTATAGTTCGCTTTTCAATTGGATCTTCCAAAATGCATCACCTCGCATTTGCGTGGATTGAACTCCATCTGCCATTTCTCCGCCCAACTCTCCAATCTATCTATATTCTGCTGCATTCTCCGACAGTCCCCTTCACTATCTGCTACTCCACCAATCTTAGTGTCATCTGCAAGCTTGCTAATCAGACCATCTATACCTTCCTCCAGATCATTTATGTATGTCACAAACAACAGTGGTCCCAACATGGATCCCTGTGGAACACCACTGGTCACAGTTCTCCATTTTGAGAAACTCCCTTCCACTACAACTCTCTGTCTCCTGTTGCCCAGCCAGTTCTCTATCCATCTAGCTAGTACACCCTGGACCCCCTGCGACTTCACTTTCTCCATCCTACCATGGGGAACCTTATCAAACGCCTTACTGAACTCCATGTATATCTACAGCCCTTCCCTCATCTATCAACTTTGTCACTTCCTCAAAGAATTCTATCAAGTTGTTAAGACATGACCTTCCCTGCACAAAACCATGCTGCCTATCACTAATATGCCCATTTTCTTCCAAATGTAAATAGATCTTATCCCTCAGTATCTTCTCTAGCAGCTTCCCCACCACTGACGTCAGGCTCACCGGTCTATAATTACCTGGATTATCCTTGCTACCCTTCTTAAACAAGAGGACAACATTAGCAATTCTCCAGCCCTCTGGGACCTCACCCATGCTCGAGGATGCTGCAAAGATATCTGTTAAGGCCCCAGCTATTTCCTCTCTCGCTTCCCTCAGCAACCTCGGATAGATCCCATCCGGACCTGGGGACTTGTCCACCCTAATGTCTTTTAGAATACCCAACACGTCCCCCCTCCTTATGCCGACTTGACCTAGAGTAATCTAGAGACCTAGAGATATGCTGCAGTATAGCAAGACCAAAGAATTATCTCAACTCAGCTGATGAAATGCTCGAATTTCTTGGAATTTAGTCTGTAATGAGGCAATTTGAGGGACAGAAAATTTGGGATTCAATTTTCTCAGCACTTAGTAGGAGCATGGTGACCTGTTCATCCTATTACACAATTGCTGAAGAAGCTATAATGGATGGAAGGGCTCCACATCAATAGTCCAGGTGTTCAACTTCAAGCAATAATAACAATCAAGAATGGAATTTTCCCATTCTCAGTTTTGTCTTTTGTTCAACGAGATTCATAGTGCTAATCTGCTATGGCATAAAGTGAAATTTCTCACACAATCATCTGCTCTTCACCTCACTAATTATGCAACTAGGCTCTTGGACATCTTGCTCAAGGAATCATGTGACCAGAGAAGTGGAAAGCTCTCATTTATGCTGCCGGGGCCATGTGGCAAGTTCCAAACCATTTCAGGGCACAGCAAGCCAGAAACTGCTCCTCACACTGTGGTGCTTAATCATCATCATCAAAGAAATGATCCTGAAGAAAGGAAAGTTTGCTCTCACATTTCAGTAAGTGACCTGGATGGATGAGGGTGGAGGGTGGAAAGGAGGGCAATCCTATTTCTTCTCAACGGCCACAGGAGGTCGTACCACCAGATTCACCAGATTTGGATACAGTTTGCAGCCTGGCTGAGTGTTGTGTTGTGAGTGAGAAATTACACTTAGCAGTGCAGCAAGAAGGTCACTGATCTTCTGCACCCCACTAGGGTAATTACCAGCACCTTCTGTCTGCTAACTCACATTCACAGGTTGGAGTATGTGGTATGTCAGGGCCAGTGGATAGAAGGGAGTTTTGGACTGGGTAGGAGCGGTGATGTCTTCTGACATTACCTGGGTAAGTATTAACGTAACTGAAGCAGAGCCCCCTAAATTCTCTGCCATTCATAGATTCTTTCAGAGTGATCCAGACACAGGGGAATTCCACATTGGAATTTTCAATTTTCCAGGGGATTTCCATGGAGTCTGCTGTCTTTGGGATTCTGCATTGTCCTGGAGCACAACTCCAGCCTGCATGGTCCAATGACTTTGTGGCCATCGGAATATCTGGGTCCATGATAAAATGAATGAATATGAAAGTATTCATTCTCACCATGTCCAATTTTCCTTTCTTATCGACCAAGCTAGACACAGCATAAGCAGTGAGTACACATGCGGCCAGTGAGAAATAAGTGTTGATAATAGCTCTGTATTGTCCATCAGGGTTTCCTACAATGGCAGAATTGAAGCTTGGCCAAAACATCCATAAGAAGAGAGTACCTGTAAAACATTGAGAAACTTTTAGAACAATCTCTAGTTATTTCAGAGCTTTAAAAATATGATGATGTACTTGATGATTACGAATCTTAAAATTGTTTAAGCTTATAGACTGAAGTTTATACATTTCTGTTATTACATGGAAAATAAAAAAATGATACAAGAGAAGAGGCATTTTTAGCATTCAACATTCGATTATTGTTTAAAATATTGTGCCTCTATCTAAAATCTTCCCCTCCACAAAAAGAAATAAGAATTTATCATTTCAATTCATAAATATTATTTAAATAAACAATTAGTTGGGATCTGGGTTCAAAACCAGATGGAATAATAATATATTTTGTCCACAGACTATATCAGATGAATTTTGCTGTATCAAATCAGTTCCTAGACAGCAGAAGTTTATTGTACCAAAATCCATCAAATTTTGTAGAAGTTGTCACTAAATTAGCAAACTTGGAAGACTGTAGTGTGGGAAATTAATAAGTACCATGCTATTATAGTGGATGTTGCTCTTCAGAAGTTTGGATTGTGATATATTATTAGGATAAGGACAGAGGGCAGTCAATTCTGCATGCAATCTTAGGGCTAGATTGTCATGATCCCGAGTGGGACCAAACCGAGGTGGAACTCAAAAAAATAGGCTCTAACAAAGCTGGCCAGATATTTTGCATGTTTTCTCATCCTTGGCCGCTTTCACAAAGGAAGGAGAGGAAATAAAAGGTTCAGAACCCGTCTGCCCCTTTCTAGGAGACAAATGAAAGCTTTGTGGGCTTATTGAGAACCTGCTCCAGGATTCTTTTTTAAATTTTCAGTTTTTAGCAGCTGTTGGATTTTGAACCAGCTACGTGGAGATGTGAGACATGGATTGGAGGTTGGAAGAGTTTAAAAGGTAAGTAGGATGCCTTCATGTCCTTTACAGTTCTTCGTGAAATTTTGCAGCATGTGTGTTCAACAACATGTGTTATGATTGGAAGAAGTAATTTCTTCATTGCTCTTTAAGCAACATATTTGCCAAGCTAGTATTTCTGTCAATTGGTAATCAATCAAATAAAACATCAATGACATAAGTGTAAGGAAGTCTTCGATGAATTAAAAATTTCATCCAAATGGACCAAGAGATAAAGAACAGTTCAGAATATTGAAAGTGCAGCCTGGCATGATAATCAGGTACAAGTGCTTTATCATTTCCAATTGCTTTTATGTATTCTGGCTAGGTAGCTGTTAAGATGGCAGTTCTGAAGTCAGAGATTGAATTTTTCAAATTGTTGACAAAAGTTTTGTTGTTGAGGAGATTCCTGGCTCCTGGTCTGCCATAACCCATGTCAACTTTTCTAACACAATTGTTTGCTCTTCATCTCATTAATTCTGCAGGTGGCCTCTTTGGCACCTGTCTCATGGGATTGTTAGTAAGGGGAGATCAAACTCCTCTGATAATTCAATTGGAAACTGTTAATTCAATTCCCAAACTGTTACAGTGGGAGTAGAGGTCCCCCTCAAAAAATGAGAACCGAAACACCCAGAGAAGCTTGCTTTACCTCGCCTAATCCTTTAAACAGTTACGAAGAAGGGGAGGTAAATGAAAAAAATCCCTGATATTCACTTTTTAACTAACTAGTAACAATTTACTTATTTAACCTAAACAGTGAACAAATTAATAGGATAACTAACAAATCAAACAATTCCCCCTAACTCCTAACTAATCCTTAACTGATCAAAATTCTACTGGTATGCTATTTCAATAAACACAAGACCGAAAGTTTTGATTTTCTGAAAAAGGGTCTAGGCCCGAAACGTCAGCCTTCCTGCTCCTCTGATGCTGCTTGGTCTGCTGTGTTCATCCAGCTCTACACCTTGTTATCTCTGTCTCTGGCTTGCTACAGTGTTCCAGTGAAGCCCAACGCAAGCTGGAGGAACAACACCTCATTTTCCGCTTGGGGACCCTACAGCCCTCCGGACTCAATATTGAGTTCAATGATTTTAGAGCCTAAACTATCCCATGTCCCAGCTCCCCCACCCCACACACCAGGCTTTATTACCACATAGCCTGCCATTACACACCCACTGTTGTTAGTCACTAACAGTCCCCAATAACAACTATTCACCCTCCCAGCGTGATTGTTAGCAACTCCTTTGTCCAACTGTCTTTGGGCCCTATCGTATCGTTCACCCCCTACCCCACCCACCTCCCTATTTTCTGCATATGAATTGTCATTTTCCCAGCCACTATCAGTTCTGAGGAAGGGTCACCGGACCCGAAACGTTAACTCTGTTTTCTCTTTCACAGATGCTGCCAGACCTGCTGAGCTTTTCCAGCAACTTTGTTTTTGTTCCTGATTTACAGCATCCGCAGTTCTTTTGGTTTTTACCGACTTATATGACCCAAGTAGTAAGAAAAACATAAATTAAAACTTAGTCTCTCAAAGTCCACACAGAATGTGTCTCTTAGAATGCATTGTCTTCTCCACTGTTTCTCCAGTTATAAATGCCTTTCTTCCTACTGTCAGGGATGTTTTCTCTGTGAAGGTTCTTAGCTAAAGTGCTATGGTACCTTTTATGGATAAGATGGTGCTTTCTTAGAGCTTAGCAATTTCTTGTGAGAGCTAGGTGCTCATCTCTTAGATGGTGGTTCGCTCTGACACCTATTTTCAAAAACCCTCCCCTACATACCTTGAATGGCATGTCAATTTTCTCACAATAGCATTGCTCCGAGGTTATCAAAACCATCAGATTTAAAGATTTAAATGATTTCTGAAGAAGGGGCTAGGCCCGAAACGTCAGCCTTCCTGCTCCTCTGATGCTGCTTGGCCTGCTGTGTTCATCCAGCTCTACACCTTGCTATCTCAGATTCTCCAGCATCTGCAGTTCCTACTAGCTCTGAAACAATTTTAACCCCACTGCGTAGCCTCTTCTAAGGATGCCTACGCTGAAGAAGTTACCCTCCTCCCTCCGGAAAAACCTCAGTGGATCTCTCTCCCACTGCAACTCTCTCATAATCTCTTTGGCCTTGAAACTGCTTGACCACATCCTGAAGCAAATCAGGTACATCACTTTTCTTAGTACCTGCCTACAGAACCAGATCATCCCCAATGGACTACAGTCCACATTCAGGCCTTTCCAATTTGGCCCCAGCTGTGACAATGTCTACATTCAGAACATTGAGATCCTTCAGAAGCGTTTCTCCCTGCAACTCCTGAAACACACACTCGCAGCGATGTGCTGGCATCTCCTGGCACTACAATCAAGCCTACCCCAGCTCAGAGCCTCCCTCTCCCAGACCTGCAAAGGACCTCTCCTGTTTTTTATTCTTCGTAGGATCCACAACCTGAACTCACAATTCTAGTCAGCTTTATCGGACACTAAGAACCGTAAGTACAGTAAACTTACTGGTGCCTGCCACCCCAAACGGGCTTCCTCCATCTTCCAAATCCCCAACCCTACCCAGGACCTTCCCCACAATGTGCCCGCCACCATTGGCCATGTGGCCAGTGTCGGAGCACCCACGGATGACAGATTTCTGAAGAAGGGTCTAGGCCCGAAACATCAGCCTTCCTGCTCCTCTGTTACTGCTTGGCCTGCTGTGTTCATCCAGCTCTACACCTTGCTATCTCAGATTTAAATTCAATTGGCTTTCAATCACTAAGTGCTTAGTTTAAATTAATTGGCTGATTCCAGCTCGTTGCCAAAACATCAAAACACACTTAAAGTTTCCAACCACACAGCCAATTGATACATGTTTCCATTTTAGAACTGGCTGTACGTCTTCAGCTACATGCAGACACTTGTTTTTTCTTTGTAAGTCTCTAACTTTAGAATGCATTTTATCTCTTTAACTTTTTTTTAACAAACAAATTCTAGCTTCCTGCCTTCCAATTCATGATTACTCTACACAACTTCGTAACAAGATTGTGAGGTAGAAGCGCTCGTGACTGCGAAGGACTTTGTGACAGTCAGACAACATCACTGCAAGCCAGGAATTGTCTCTCTGAAACATTGTCTCCCAGTGTCAGGTATGAAATATGATTCAGAAATGCTAATCCCCAGTGAGAGTTTTAAATTAGTACTGGATTAGATTTGCTTATCCAATAAGGAGGCAATAAGTGCAAACCAGGTAATGGTCATGACCACTCAAGGCCATTATTTTTGATGCTCACTCTTGCAAAAAAAAGACTTGTCAATGAATTGAAATTTGATCCAGGTCAGTGGCATTTCTGAGTCAGTAGATGCATGATTAATGTAATTGCCCCAAGCAAGATCACACATTCAAACAATTCTATTCTCTCCAGAGGAAAACAATTAACACCTACTCTGCAGCACACTCTCTTGAGCTTTCTGTATTGATGTCAAGAGTGTAGATAGTGCCTAAAATTTTGCTTGGTTAGCCCAAATATAATGAAATGAAAAATACATATGAAATCTGCTCTATTGAGAAGTCATTAGTTAAAATAATGACCTCATGATTAGAAAGGTCTTATTCCTGCATCTGAAGAAATGTGTGTGTTTAAATAAAGTGCTGTAAATGCATCAGCAATAACTGAACTGAGAGATATGAAGAATCAAAGAAGTTTAGGAAGGTTTTTCCAGGGCTTTGGACTTAGACACCTGAAGACATGACCACCACTGTGGGATAGGGGAAGTGGGGATAAATATAAGGCCGGTATTTGAAGAACACAGATTACATCAAGCAGGTAGGTCTGGAGGAGATTACAGGAATTGGGAGGGATGAGGGCATGAAGACTTAAACAAGAGTATGAGAATTTTCAAATAAAAGCAACAAAGCTGGGTAGGAATGTAACACTAGACAGAGGTAGGTAGGTAGGTACATAGATCAGAAATAGCCTGGTTAGTACACACTTGCATTTTATATTCTAGGGATCTGCTACTAATTTCTAAAATAGTTGCTGTGTGTAGTACATTTTTGCTTACCAATCATAGCAAACAAGTCCGAGTGATACACAGATCCTTCTTTATCATGGTCACCTTGCAATCCTGGTCTGTAGAGGACACGACTGACAGCAAGACCAAAGTATGCACCAAAAGCATGAATAGTCATCGATGCACCAACATCTTTGGCCTGTAAAATACCCAAATACCGTTTGTCATTTTACCTTAGTTAGTGAAGATGCATAAAACTCCAAATTGCCTTAGGATGAAAAGCTATATTTGCACCCCTAGCTCATTGCCAGGTCCTTAAGAAATCAAAACTGAAACTGTTGTAAGTATTCAGGTCAGGCAACATCTGCAAAGAAAGAAAAAGTTACAGTTGTTGGTCTCATTAGATATCCTTTCACAGATGCTACCTGGCCTACTGAGTATTTCCAGCATTTTTTGTTTTTAATTTCAGGTCTCCATGATCCACTGTATTTTGCTTTTATCTTAAGAATTTTTACCAGTTTTGTCATTGTGTATTTGCATATAATCCAGCACCTTTCATAATATTCTTCATTGAATTGTAGCAAGATTTTGCACAGCTGAAAGCAAATCTGCTTAACTATGAACAAGCTAACCCCTTGGAATTGCTATCCAATTAATCTCATCCCCTGCCCTTTCCCCACCACGGTATTTCTCCCCTTTAAGAATCAATCTAATTTCCTTTAGCAAATTGGCATTGAAATGGCTTCCAACACTCTTTCAGCCATTCCTCTTTTTGCCTTGTGTTATTTTGTCAATTGTCTTAAATCTGTGGCTGTCTTAATCCTGATCACCAACTTTCCTGTAACAGGGAACAATTTCTCCTTATTTACATTAGCAAAATCCATCTCAATACCTTCATAAAGCTTCCCTAAATCTTCAATGATTCAATCAGAACAGCACAATTTTCTCTCATTTCTGAAGTTCTCTATCCCTGAAATATTCTTGTATATTTCCTATGCTCTGTCTCTAAGGACATAAGATCCATTTCCTGCAGTGTGTTTCTCAGAATTATGCCAATATATAAAATGTGGTTTAATCAATGGAAAGAAACTAAACCAACATTTTGAGTCTAATTGACTCTTCATTAGAGCTCTGCTGAAGAGGCATCTAGACTCAAAATGTTAGCTTGCTTTTTCTCCATGGATGCTGCCTGACCTGATGTGATCTCTAGCATTTTTAGTTTCCAGTACAGATTCCAGCATCTGCAGTAATTTGCTCCTACATTGTAGCTTAATCAATGATTATTAAACGTTCAGCGCTTTTTATCACTGCCTTTAAAGTCGAAGATCTTTTTTTAGCAGTCTTCTCAAATTGTCCTGCCCTGCTTCAAAGATTTGCGTGTTTACAGCTGTCTAAAATTGTACCTTGTGTTTTACTGTGTCTTTACTTTCTTCCTACCAAATATATCACTCAATTTAAACCAGTAAATGTTAAACAGAAGGAACGTAAAACATTTTTTTAAAATTAAAAGTACACCAAAAGGAATTCTTAAATGAAGTAATTCCTTCCAAATCATTTGTTCAACTGATATCAAGGCAATGCATTTATCTGAGAATTTTTCATGATTCAAACAAAATTTTGATGGATTTTAAATTTTGCTGTAGTTATCCATAACACAAAATGATCCCTGCAGATGTGCAGATGGGGTCTATATCATCTAGGCTGCAGAAATGGTTATGCATGAACAGGTGGCATCAATATGCCAGGATGTGTCTGCACATCCACCACTGATAATGCTGCTTTCAATACATGCAGTACCTCATAATGTCAGCAGGAGAACATGTCTAGACATTCCCCACTAAGTCTATCGCAACTGCATATATGCTGCTGATGTCACAGCACTCGATTTCAAAAATAGAGCATATCATAAGGATCTACATTGTTCCATCGGATCAACTGTATTTGGAAAGGCAAAGACTAATTAGGGATAGTCAGCATGGCTTTATGCATGGGAAATCGTGTCTCACTAACTTGATTGAGTTTTTTGAAGAAGTAACAAAGAATATCGATGAGGGCAGAAGAGTGGACGTGATCTATATGGACTTCAGTAAGGTGTTCGACAAGGTTCTTCATGGTAGACTGGTTAGCATGGTTAGATCACATGGAATACATGGAAAACTAGCCATTTGGAAACAGAACTGGATTGAAGGTAGAAGACAGGTTGGTGGTGGAGGGTTGCTTTTCAGACTGGAGGCCTGTGACCAGTGGTGTGCCACAAGGATTGGTGCTGGGTCCCACTACTTTTCATCATTTATAAAAATGATTTGGATGTGAACATAGGAGGTACAGTTAATAAGTTTGCTGATGACACCAAAGTTGGAGATGTAGTGGACAGTGAAGAAGGTTACCACAGAGTACAACAGGACGTTGATCAGATAGGCCAATGGGTTGAGAAGTGGCAGATGGGGTTTAATTTAGATAAATGTGAGGTGCTGTATTTTGGAAAGGCAAATCAGGGCAGGACTTATATACCTAATGGTAAGGTCCTGGGGAGTGGTGCTGAACAAAGAGACCTTGGAGTGCAGGTTCATATTTCCTTGAAAGTGGAGTCCCAGATAGATAGGATAGTGAAGAAGGCATTTGATATACTTGCCTCTATTGGTCAGTGCATTGAGTATAGGAGTTGGGAGGTTATGTTGAAGCAATATTACAGGACATTGGTTAGGATTCTTTTGGAATACTGCGTGCAGTTCTGGTCTCCCTGCTATATGAAGGATGTTGTAAAACTTGAAAGGGTTCAGAAAAGATTTACAACGATGTTGCCAGGGTTGGAGGGTTTAAGCTAAAAGGAGAGGCTGAATAGTTTGGGACTTTTTCCCTGAAGCATTGGAAGCTGAAGGGTTACCTTTATAGAGGTTCATAAAATCATGAGCAGCATGGATAGGGTAAATAGACAAGGTATTTTCCCTGGGGTGGGGGAGTCCAAAGCTAGAGGGCATAGGTTTAAGGTGAAACAGGACAGATTTAAAAGGGACCTAAGGGCAACATCTTCGTGCAGAGGGTGGTGAGTGTATGAAATGAACTGGCAGAGGAAGCGGCGGAGGCTGGTACAATTACAACATTTAAAAGGCATCTGGATGGGCACATGAATTGGAAGTGTTTAGAGGGATATGGGCCAAATGCTGGCAAATGGGACTAGATTAAGTTAGAATATCTTAATTGAGTTGGACCAAAGGGTCTATTTCTGTGCCGTACACCTCTATGATTCTATGGTTCGGACTGGGCCTGCTGTGTGTAAGGTTCCCAAAACATGGCTTCTCTTACCAATGCTTGTTTAGAGTTATGTTCAATAATATCTGTTGATGTTAATACACCCGAATGTAGACCTGATCTTACTAGCTGATAACAAACGGTGAGTACTCTCACAGAACCAGAAGTGATCGGAAAGTCAGAACTTAAAGTGAAATTCAGTGGCAACACCATGCTAAAGGTGAAGGGCAAGGCTATCTCAGCAACCTAACCATGGAGGAGGTTGACAAGCAACCAGCAGACTTTAAGGTCAAACCGATTACTAGACCAGTCTGTCAACGAACACAGACAGTATTATCGGAAACAGATTTCAAATTAAAAAAGGAATTCTGCCCTAATCCCAGACCAGCTAACAAGAATCATTGATAACATAATGTGGAGCTGGAAGAACACAGCAGGCCAGGCAGCATCAGAGGAACAGGAAAGCTGACATTTCCGGTCGGGACCCTTCTTCGGAGACCCATTTATCCAAGTTTTCTCTGTGTTCCTTCAAGTCTACACTGTGTTATCTCTGACTCCAGCATCTGCAGTTCTTACTATGTCAAGAATCAAATCATTGTAGCAGTTGCAGAACCGAAAACATGTGGAAAATACACCTACCGCCATATTTCAAGATTCTGGAGATGATTCAAAGAAGTTTCAGAGGCAGGGAGTAGTCCCTGCCAACACTGTACAAAGCAATGCTTACAGTCACAACAGTCTCTTAAAATTACAAAAAAAAGGAAATGTAGGGTCACCACCTTTAAAGCAAAGCTGAACAGCAGACCTTTTTTTTTCTTGGTGAATTTACAGAATGGGATAGTCAATATTGGAGTGCTAATAATGCTGTCAATGGCTACCACACTCACTTCAGATTGGTCACAGAAGCTGAAGTCACTGTTTTGCCATTCGGATTTCAATGAGTGTGAAGGGTTAACCGTAGCCTTTACCCAACTGTAACACTCAGGTGGAACCAACCTCAATGTCAAATGCAAGGTTACCTTCAGCAACGTCAAGGCACAAAGACAATGACATTGTTGAAACCCTTTATTTTATCTACAACCAGCCATATTCACTGCTCAGCAGGACAGATTGCAGAAACCTCAACTGTATCTTTAAGGTAGACTCAATTATCAATCAGAAAGCATCAAATAAATTTTAATCAACTATAAAGTACTTTAAAGGCCTTGATGAAATTGTACTCTGAGCACCATACCACACTGAAGGTTGAAGCTATCTACCTGTTGTAGTTACGTGCTACAAGCCATCTGCTTGTTCATGCACCCAGAAAGGTTTCACACTCACTTAAAGTCAAAGTTGAAATTCAGATTGAGCTCATGCCCTGGAAACAAGTTACTTAAAAACTTATACAGCCAAGTATCTGGTGTTTAGCGATGGTATCAGTTCCCAAACTGAACGGGTGCATTGGAATTTATCTTGACTTAACATAACTGAACAAGCTCCTTCAATGAGAGCTAAATCGGGGCCAAGGGAGCAATAATCTGAAACCCTCAGTGCTTAAGGAAGTGGCCCTAGAAATATTGGTGGTCATCTTCCAAAACTCTTTAGATTCTGGACCAGTCCCTATGGATTGGAGGGTAGCTAATGCAATCCCACTATTGAAAAAAGGAGGAAGACAGAAATTAGGGAATTAGGCCAGTTAGCCTGACATCAGTAATGGGGACATTGTTCAAATCCATTATAAAAGATTAAATAGCAGAGCACTTGGAAAACAGTGACAGGACTGGAAAGAATCAGCATAGATTTAACAAAAGGGAAATCATGCTTGACAAATCTATTGTGAATTATTAAGGATGTAACTAATAGGGTTGACAATGTAAACCCAGTGAATATGGTTTTGTTGGTCTTTCAGAAGGTTTTCAATAAGGTTCCACATGAAAGATAAGCATTAAAGCACTAGGGACTGGAGGGTAGTATACTGTCATGGATAAAGAAGTGATGGCAAAGAGGAAACAAACAGCAAGAAAAAAGCAGGCTTTCTTCTGAGTGGCAAACAATGAACAGGGATCAGTGCTTGGACCCCAGCTATTCACAATATATATTAATCATTTAAATGAAGAAACTAAATATATTCCGGGGTTGAGAGGGTTGGCTCATGAGGAGAGATTGAGTAGACTGGGATTATACTCATTGGAGTTTAGAAGAATCGGGGGCATCTTATGGAAACATATTAAATTATGAAGGGAATAGATAAGATAGAAGCAGGGAGGGGTTTCCACTGGCGGTTGAAATGAGAACTAGGGGGCATGGATTCAAAATAAGGGGAAGCAGATTTAGGACTGAGTTGAGGAGGAACTTCTCTATCCAAAAGTTTGTGAATCTGTGGAATTCCCTGCCCAGTAAAGCAGTTGAGGCTACCTCAATGAATATTTTAAAGACAAAGGTAGATAAATTTTTGAACAGTAAAGGAATTAAGAGCTGGTGGGTAAGTGGAGCTGAGTCTGTGAAAAGATCAGCCATGATATTATTGAATGGTGTAGCAGGCCCGATGGGCCACATGGCCTACTCCTGCTCCTATTTCTTATGTTCTTATGTAAAATCTCCAAGTTTGCAGCTGACACAAAGCTAGGGAGAGGGTGAACTATGAGAAGAATGCAGAGATGCTTCAGTGTGATCTGGACAAGTTGCATAATGGGCAAATGCATGGCAAATCAAATAGAATATGGATAAATATGAGGTTATCCACTTTGGTATTAAAAACAGGAAGGCAAATTGTTATCTGAATGCCAATAGATTTGGAAATGGGGAAGTGGAAGAAGACTTAAATGTCCTTGTACTCTAGTCACAGAAGGTAAGGATGCAGATGCAGCAGGCAATGAAGATGGCAAATGGTATGCTAGACTCTGTAGCAAGAGGATTTAAGGACAACAGCAGGGATGTCTTGCTGCAATTGTATAATTGTACAATTGTAAGACCACACCTGGAGTATTGTGAGCAGTTTTGGTCTCCTTATCTGTGGAAGGATGCTCTGGCAATGGAATGAGTGCAACAACTGTTTACCAGACTGATTTTTGGGATGGTAGGACTAAAATATGAAGACAGAGTGGATCGGTTAGGACCATATTTACTGGGATTTGAAAGAGTGAGGGAGATTTCACAGAAAACTTTCTAATAGAATTTGACAGGGTACATGTGAAAGATGTTCATGATGACTGGGGAGTCCAGAACCAGAGGTCATAATCTAAGAAAATGGGGTAGGCCATTTAGGACTGAAAACTATCCAGAGAGTGGTGAGCCTGTGGGAAGTGGTTGATTGATTGATTGATTGATTGATTGATTGTTTGGTTGAATGTCACGTGTACTGGAATACTGCGAAAAACTTTGTTTATGAGCAGTACAGGCAGATCATAGTAAGCAAGGAAATACAAATCAAAGGTTGTAAAAATCTTAGACAGAGGCATATAGGTTATATTGCTCACAGCATGCGCTAGGTGAGATCAACGTTAGCAAGATCAGCATTATTTGAGGCTAGCAAGCCCATTTATCAGTCTGACAATGGCCAGGAAGAAGCTGTTCCTGAACCTGCTGGTGCATGTGTTCAAGCTTCTGTATCTTCTGCCTGACAGACGAGGTTGTAGGAAATCATTACTGGGATGCGATGGGTCGCTGATGATGTTGGTATCCTTTCTGCAGCAATGAGCTGTGCAAATGGAGCTCATGGATGGAAGGTTGGCTTCTGTGATGGTACGGGTGGTGCACATAACAGTCCTGGGCAAAGCATCTGCCATTCCAGGCCGTTATGCACCAATACAGTATCCTTCCAATGATACATCTGTAGAAGTTGGTGAGGGTCTCAATGGACATGCCAAATTTCCTGAGCTGCCTGAGGAAGAAGAAGTGTTGTTGTTCCTTCTTGACCAATGCATCTACAAGGGAAGTCCAAGACAGGCTGTCGGCTATCGTCATTCTGAGGAACTTGACGCTCTCCACCCTCTCAACCTCAGTTCCATTGATGTAGATGGGGGCGTGTTCTCCTCCTTTCTTTCCGAAGTCAATGATCAGTTCTTTTGCCGATATTGAGAGAGAGGCTGCTCTCATTGCACCACGTCACCAAGTCCTCTATCTCCCTTCTGCATTTTGACTTGTCATTGTTAGACATTGAATAGTTTCAAGGAGTTAGATATAGTTCATAGGGCTAAAAGGATCACGTTTATGGGTAGAAAGTGGAAACAGAGTACTGAGCTGAATGATCAGACATGATCATATTGAATGGCAGAGCAGGCTTGAAGGACTGAGTAGCCTACCCCTGCTCCCACAACAGATCCACAGCAGACAGAAGCCATCAAGACATTTCCATCTCATAGGACTATCATGGAGGTCAGTGATTTTTGTGACTGCAGAGCTAGGCAGGAAACTTCTTACCCCTCTTAGCCCAAGCTAATGAATCTCTCAGAGAACTTTTGAAGCATTTTAGTTTTGTCTCTTAAAATTCAAGCATACATACCTGCAGGACTGAAGTGACCAAGTGCTCATTACAAGCAAATATGGTAATCTCGAGAAGAGTCATAATCAGCAGTTGGATTGGACTGGTCTTCCCCAAGACAGCACCAAATGAAATCAGGGCAGTTGCTGTGCTGAAGTCTGCATTAATTAAGCTACACAACAAGAACATTTAAATTACTTTCCACTGTTTGTTTTCTGAATTCAGTTCAATGGCAAATTAATGCAATTGGCAACCAATAGTTACAATTGAACTCAAAACAGTCAATTGTTGTGCATCTATAATCAATGGAATTTAAATTATTTCTGTTCAATTTCATGACCAGTGTAGTTTTCAATATGTTAGCTAATAGTTACCTGTGGCTGATCAGGAATGCCGATGTGAATTATTAGATTTCAGATTAGTTGATAAAAGATAATAATTGATACCATCATTTGGGATTTTATCCTGTTCCATATGTAGTGGAAAGCTACAAGTAATGAAACAACTTTAAATAATACCAGAAATGCAAAAGAATAACTGCCATCGAAAATTGAAATGTAATATTTTTGTTTGTCACTGTTTTTTGTAACACTGTGATTGGGACAATTTGCATATCAGGAAAGTGAAAAGCAATTTTTACTATTTTTCTAATCTGTGTTTTATTTTTATACACAATACACCCCTTATAAGGCTTTTTAAAAAATTAGTTACACCTTCGATTTGAGTTATTTCTTTTATCTTTCTGCAAAGTATGAAAGAAAATCAAATAATTATAATACAGACTAAAACTGAAATAATAAGGGTAGATTTCTCTAATCTAGTGACATCGTCATATTGGGAATTCAGGTGCTGGGTTCAGGGTAAAGACTTGCCAGAAATTCTTAGCCATTAATTTCATATATGAGAAGACAGAAGTTAAGCATGCAGTTAATCAATAAAAGGTTAAATATACCTGAAAATGTCAACTTTGATTTTTCCATCTTTTAAGTGGTGCAGCCAACCTTGCATCAGAGTGCCCCACTGAAGACCAAATGCAGCAATGAGTAAATTAAATCCAACACTGCTGAATCCATACTTCTTCAAGAAGGTCATCAGAAAGCCAAATCCAACAAAAATCATTACGTGTACATCCTGGAAACCTGAATAAGAAATATATATAACTTATTATTATCATTGACTCATCCAAAACACTATATAGAAAGTAAGGGGCTGATTTTCTCGAATTTCAGCATGTGACTGCGGTTTACGATTAGCATATTCAAATGCATTGGTCCTGGTCATTAGCTTCAGGGCTGTGTGGTTATTGTCAGGGAGTAGCAGTGAGAAGACAGCTACTCCTTAGGTCCATTGAATAACCTGGATACAGATCACTGCTTCCCTTTTGAGGGTGCTCAGACTTGTTGCTAGATCCTGACTCTCCAGTTTGAAGAATTCCTGTGAACCAGGAGGAACTCTTCAAAATGTTGGCTAAGTTGCAAGGAGCTTTACTCTCCATTTAAATTGCTCCATGTGTTCTGAAACTCCTTGATACTCATATTGACAATGTCTGTACCAGAAAATGAAAAACAAGAGAAGGTTATGAAATAGCACTGAATGCGTCGTAACATGAACAAATTGGACAAGAAATTGTTTCCATAATGCTATGATTATTTACAAAAAAGACAAACTGTTAATAAACACAAGGATGTTTTGGAGAGGGTGCAGAATATTCTCAAAGGTGGGAGGGATCAGCAGGAGGTCATTGAATACATTGGAATCAATGATATAGGAAAAGAAAAGGATGAGGCTCTGATGAGAGAATATAGGAAACTAAGCAGGAGGTTAAAAAGCCGGTCCTCGAGGGTTGTAATATCTGGATCACTCCTAGTGCCAAGTGCTAGATTAGGAATAGCAGGATAGAGCAGATGAATGCATGGCTGAGGTTCCGGTGCAGGTGAGAAGGATTTACATTTTTGGGTCATTGGAATCTATTCTGGGATAGAAACGACCTATTTAAGAAGGACAGGTTGCACGTGAATTGAAAGGGGACTAATATACTGGCCGGGAGATTTGCTAGAACTACACGGGAGGATTTAAACTAGATAGGTGGCGATGGTGGTGAGGGGTGGGGAGAGTGGGGAGGGGTTGGGGGGAAGGGGGTGACCCAGAGATAGTGAGAAAAGCGATCAGTCTGAGGCTGGAGCAGTTGGGAAAAGGAACAAATCAAACAGTCAAGGCAGTCAGGAGCAAAGTAGAGAATGAGGTAGGACTGATAAATTAAACTGCATTTATTTCAATGCAAGAGGCCTGACAGGTAAGGCAGATGAACTCAGGGCATGGTTGGGAACATGGGACTGGGATATCATAGCAATTACAAGAGATGTGGCTCAGGAATGGACGGGACTGACAGCTAAATGTTCCAGGCTATAGATGCTATAGGAAGGATAGAAGGCGGGGTGGGGGGTGCGGAGGGCAAGAGAGGAGGGACAGTGGCATTTTTTATTAGGGAAAACTCTGTTTCTCGCACTCTGTTTCAGCCCCTCTGTTTCTTGCACTCTGTTTCTGGCCCTCTGTTTCAGCCCCTCTGTTTCTCGCACTCTGTTTCAGTCCATAAATTGCCCATAGTGTTCAGGGATGTGTAGATTAGGTGGGTTATAGGGGGATGGGTCTGGGTGGGATGCTTTGAGGGTCGGTGTGGACTTGTTGGACTGAAGGGCCTGTTTCCACGCTGTGGGGATTCTATGAAACAGTCATGGGCGTACAGGGAGTACAGTAGGAGGATTCCAGGCAGTGTGTTCAGTGAAGTTATTTGGGTGGAACTGAGAAATATGAAAGTCGTGATCACCTTATTGGGGTTGTACGATAGACATCCCAATAATCAATGGGAAATTGAGAAGCAAACTTTTTAGGAGATCTCAGTTATCTGTAAGAATAAAAGGGCATTAATGGGACGGGACTTTAATTTTTTAATCATAGACTGAGACTGCCATAGTGTTAAGGGCTTGGATAGAAAGCTGTTTGTTAAGTGTGTACAAGAAAGTTTTCTTATTCAGTATGTGCAAGTACCTGCTAGAGAAGGAGCATGGTGCTGTATTGCATTATGTCTACACCATTGACTACTTATTGCTGGCAACCATGACAGTTGCGTGGCTTTCTGTCTGTGTAAAAATGAAAGAAAGCAATACCAAAAAAAAAGCACATGCAAGATGTCTTAATGATTACCGCCCAGGAGCTCTGACCTCCATAATCATGAAGCTCTTCGAGAGGCTGATCATGGCCGACATCAACTCTAGCCTCCCAGCCTGTTTTGATCCCCTGCAATTTGCCTACTGATGAAGTAGATCCATATTGGACACCATTTCCCTAGCCCTACACTCATCCTGGAACAAATGGATAACAAGGACACCTATACAGACTTCTACTCATCGACTACAATTCTACCTTTAACACTATATTTCCCTCCAGACTAACGTCAAAACTCAGACCTATGTCTCAGCTCCCACCTCTGCGGCTGGATCCTCAGCTTCCTGACCCACAGACTGCAGTGAAGATAGACAACTGCACGTCATCCACAATAACCCTCAACACTGGCACCCCGCCAAAGATGAGTTCTCAGCCTCCTACTGTACTCCCTGTACGCCCATGACTGTTTCATAGAATCCCCACAGGGTGGAAACAGGCCCTTCGGTCCAACAAGTCCACACCGACCCTCAAAGCATCCCACCCAGACCCATCCCCCTATAACCCACCTAATCTACACATCCCTGAACACTATGGGAAATTTAGCATGGCCAATCTACCGAGCCTGCACATCTTTGGACTGTGGGAGGAAACCAGAGCACCCGGAGGAAACCCACACAGACACGGGGAGAATGTGCAAACTCCACACAGACAGTTGCCCGAGGGTGAAATCGAACCCGGGTCCTTGGCGCTGTGAGGCAGCAGTGCTAACCACCGAGCCACCATACTGCCCCAAACGTGCATTCCCTGGCCGGAAATCGAACCCAGGCCGCGGCAGTGAGAGCACCAAACTGTAACCACTAGACTACCAGGGAAGGTGACAGACAGATAGAGTTGCATGTTGTCAGCATGGGTGTGGAAACTGACCTCATTCCTCTGAATTACATCACTAATGTATAGCATGCAAATGGTGATATTCGGAAGAATGGGGTCACTGTGTAGCAAACTTCCAAACAAACGCCATCTTCAAGTTTGCTGACAATACCACTGTGGTAGGATGGACAACTAACAACGAAGAGTCAAAATACAGAAATGAGATAGAGGGCTTGGTGTCATGATGAAATGATAACAATCTCTCTCTTAATGTCAGCAAAAAAAAGAACTGATCATTGACTTCAGGAAGAAAGAAGGAGGACACACCCCCATCTACATCAAAGGAGTTGAGGTGGAGAGGGTCGAGACCGTCAAGTTCCTAGGAGTGATGATAACTGATAACCTGTTCTGGACTTCCCATGTAGATGTGACAGTCAAGAAGGCACAACAACACCTCTTCTTCCTCAGGCTGCTTAGGAAACTCAGAACGTCCATAAGGACCATCACCAACTTTTACAGATGCACTACAGAAAATATACTTTCCAGGGGCATAACCATCTGGTATGGCACCTGCTGTGCCCAGGACCATAAGAAACTACAGAATGTTGTGTGCACAGCCCAGACCATCACAGGACTCCCATGGACTCCATTTACACCTCGTTGCTTTGGAAAGACTGCCAACATCATCAAAGGACCCTCCCAGCCTAGTAATGCTCTCTTACAACCTCTTCCGTCAGGCAGAGGATACAGAAGCTTGAACACACACACCAACAGGTTCAAGAATATCTTCTTCCCTGCCGTTATTAGACTGATAAATGGACTCTCTAACTTCAAATAATGTTGATCCTGCTAATGTTGATCTTGCTTTGCGCATCTCCTGTGCAGTGTAACCTGTATGCCTTGGTCTATCTAAGCACCCTATGATCTGTATGTCCTTGATTGCTATGATCTGCCTGTATTGCTCACAAAACAAAGCTTTTCACTGTACTTAGGTACATGTGACTAAAATAAATCAAATCAAATCAATGTCAAGGCAAGTCATAGATTCTGTGAGCATCCAAGTAAGTGTAAAGTGTGTATGAGCACTAAGGTAAAATAGTTGAAGTGTCCCTGTGTCGGTGTAGGAAATGGGTGTGTCCCTGCTGGGAGAGCAACCTAGCAGGTGTATTCCAATGTGTCCATGAGTTTAAAGTTCAGCAAATTGCTGGAGTGTTTTATTGGTTTGTCCGAGATCGACCATGGTGATGTGGTGAGGTTGGTGCTTAGCCAATGCCATCTTGGGTGGATGAAGGGTCAAGGAGCTACTGCCCGTAGCGCTTCAATGAGGTGCTGGGGAACGGTGGTCAACATGAAAGCCTGGAGAAGCCACCAGCAAGTTGCACTCTCCAGGTAACCATCTGGAATTTCAATTCAGGAATTAATCCCACCTTATTTCTCACCAGTATTTGGGGAGATTACAAGCTACAAATAAATGGGGCATGATTAGCTAATAATGAGATGTAAATGCATGAAAATAGAGCCCTGGATGCTTACTAACAAGGTTCTCAGCCAGACATTGAAACTTTAAGGAGAAAGTTTTTTTTCTGTGACATCAAAAATCCAACTTTTTTTCATTCTCACTGCATTTTCCCAGGTTTTTCACCATTGCTCATATCATTGAGATGCTGAGGATTGCCATAGAAAATGTCTAACATTGCATATGATTCTGTGATTGAACAATACTTGCAGAAGAATATCGAGTATTCCATAAGAATTACACTTAAAAATCAAAATGAGATTATCAGTCAGGCTTGCAATATAGCTCTCTTAGGCTTGCCAGAAGTGACATATTTATTTCCAGAGACCTGTCCTCTGCAGGCAAACAAATTTGTTCAGGCTTTGTGCTTTTTTTAAATGTGGGGATCAATTGCTCCCTGATGTATTCTCCACAGTTATGCTTTTAATTATGAGAGCTGATTTGTCAAAGAAAATCTACTAACAGAATGAACTGAATATTGACAATGTGTATTTAAAGAACATCAATGCTTGACAGAGTTGAACTTTAAGGGTTGCACAATTTCTCTGCAGATCTGTTGATACATTTTAGAGAATATGCAATCAACAGCTTCGTACTAGCTTGTCCACAAG